CAGGGTCTCAGCTCTTGTTGCAATGGTTGAAATAACTTTCAGTTGGGGTTCTAGCCTCTCATCTTCTACTTTCTCCAATCAACCTCTGCATGGTCACTGAAGTGACATTTTATAAAACTCAAGTCTGATTACATTTTTCCCTTAGTTATTCCTTTAGAACAAAGCCCTGGCCAGAATCAGGGCATGTAAGAGTCTTTATCATCTGCTCCACTAAGCTCCCAGCTTCTCTTCACCTTTGTACTTCACATTCCAGCCAATCCAATCTGCTTCTAGTTTCCTAGACACACCATGTTGTCTCATTCCTCTGTGCCTTTGCACTGGCAATGACCTCTCCCTAGAATATTACTCCTCCACCCCCTCTTAATGCTCAGAAAAGCCTCATGTGTCCAATAATATTCAACTTAGAAATTATCTCCTCTAGAAAGGTTTCCATCACCATCTTACTCTATCTCTGTGATGGTGCTAACCTTTTCCCCCTTTCAGAATTTAAGCATACTTGGATTATCAGTGAATTATGGTGAATGCAAATTTATTGATTCATATATTGTTTCCCTTTCCAGAACATAAGCCTCTTTGTAGAAGGAACTGCATCTTGCTAACACAGTGCCTCATATATGGTAAATAACACACAGAAAACAAATGCTGGAAAAATTGAATTGAACCAAACACAAAACACATGATTTAGTCATTGCTGCCCTCCTTGACATCTCTTTTACACGCTGAATCCAATTTTCGCCAAAGCCAGTCAACTCTGTTTTCAAAATATCTCTTGAGTCCAATCACTTCTACCTCCAGCTTTCACAATGTTGGAGGCTACCACACTCTCTCACTCAGAAGATTGTAATACCTTCACAAATACCTTTTCTGCTTTTGTCCTTGCCCCTTACCAAAATGTACCTGCAACAAAACAACATGAATGGTTCCCTTTAAAAGCCAATCAGGGTATGTCACCCCTCAGCTCAAAACCTCCCAATGGCATCCACATCATTCAGCGTAAAGCCTGAGTCCCACAACAGGGCTACATCATCTCTTCTGCCCGCCACCTCTCTAATCTCCTTTTCACTCTTCTTACATAGCTCCAGCCACGCAGGCATTCTTTCCTTTCTCCAATACTCCAGGAACACTCCCACCTGAGGCATTTGCACTTTTTGTCCCCTCTGTCTGGAATGCTCTCCTGCCAAGTGTCCGCGTGTCCTTTCCCTCACCTTCACGACCTCATCCGACTGTCATTTTCTCCACTAGGTCTTCTCTGACTACTGCCCTGTTTTAAATTGCAGCACCACCGCTCCAAACACCCCTGCTTTATTTGCCTTCATAGCACGTACCACCGTTATGTTTTAACCATTTATGTATTGATTGTCTCTGTCCTCTACTAGAATGTAAGTTCCATGTGGGAAGGGATTTTTTTCTTTTGTGTTCACTGCTATATATCTGGCAATTAGAACAATGCCTTGTACGTAGAACAAATTCATTAAATATTTGCAGAAAGAATTGGTGGGCTCTGCAATGGCTGGCTTTGGACTTCCCCCACAGGAATTTAATTACCAATGCATAATTTGCCTCCTCTTTATTATGCAATTTGTGTGCTATTGATTTTTTTCCTTTATAGCTCCATCCTAATCTCTGAGTATCTTGTATCATCTGCAAATTTTCCCCCATCCTCTTATCAGATGTAACCACACCTGTTCTTTATTTTTGAAATTGGCCTTTAGCATTCTGAAATTTGAAAGATAAAAATGGAAACATTCTCCCACTTATCATTAAAATTTTAGCAAAAAATATTTTTCTAAAGAAAACTTCTGGATTTTTATAGTCTAGAGTTCTTTTATTGGTAAATGAAACCCTTGATGTTTTCTAATCATACAACCAACACTCTTCCATATACTATCTCCTTCCCCCTTATAAAAATAGAAAATTCAAAGCATCTATACATCCACTTATATCTCTGTACCCACCTATGCCTCCCCGCCTTTCAGGATATCCTGCCTTTTGGGACCAGGCCAAGGTATAACCTCCATGTATTAATTTGCAATTTTGCCTGCTTGAAACATACCTCTGCCTTTAAAAACTGGCTTGAAAGCCATGAGGGAGTCCAGGTCTTGCGCATTAACTGCCCACACTCCTTGCTTGATGCCCTGCAATAAAGCCTTTTCCTCCTGCCACAACTCTCTGCTTCAGCATTTGGCTTTGCTGTGCCAGGCAAGTGGATCCCAGTTTGGTTCAGTAACAATTTATTGGCACCTGTAGATGGGACGAAAGTCCAGTGGGTGTCTTGCCCATGGCACATCAGCCCCTGGCCACAGCCACCCTTGGACCTCTTGCAGCAGCTGCCTGAGCCCTTTTTACTCTGGGACAATCCCGTGTGTTTGGCTGCTGACCAGGCATCGCTGGCCTGTGGTGCCTTTATTTTGCAGCGCCAGAGAAGGCACTAGGCTTGTAAGATGTCTTAGGTGAGTGGCAGATTCATGTGTAATGACTCCAAGGTATTCTCCTTTTGGACCCTTGGCTCTGCTTTGTCCGAGCACCTGATTTCGTAGAGGACACCCCTTAAAGAGCTAAAGGGACTGTGACCTTGAGAAACTACATTCGATTTGCTTGAAACTTTGCTTTTGATTTTAAAATTCTGAATTGAGAAGCCTTGTGTCTGTCTTTGCCTTGTCACATCTATGTGGGGAACCCCAAAAGAATCACTACCAAAAGCTCAGTGGGCCTGCCTCAAGGGTAACCACTTTGTCTGTTTTGCCAAGTTAAAACTCGGATACTGAGCAGAGTAACTGGTGCTTGTCTTTGTTACTTGTGTAGTATAATTTTGTCTCAGCTGATATGAGAAATACTAATTCGATTTCTTCTTGTAGCTCATTGGGGTATGTTGCAGAATTGGGCCATTTTCAGCTTTAAGCCCATCAAAAAGAAATACTCCCTGGCCACAGTGTTCCCTAGGGTCCTGGGAAAGGTGGCCAGTACGTGGATCTTTAAAGTATGTTACAATATTTAAGTTGGAATTGTTTTGCAAACAGGAAGGTAAATGGGATGAAATTCCATATGTCTAAGCCTTTATGCTTTTATACCAAAGTGAGGCAATTCGAAGAAAATATAATTTGCTTAAAATCATGGCCCAAAGAGATGCCTCTAAGATAGAAGAAGTAAAGAAGGTTTTACCCAATTCTCAAGAATTGGAAGATGACTTAATGCTTCAACAAATTAATGTGCCCAATGTTCCCCCTCTACCTTACAGGGGTCAGGGTAGGGGAGCCGGGGCAATGGTCCCTCCAATTCAGCAGAAATGGGAACCCCTATTACCACTGCTGGACCAGGAAGTAACAGTGATATAGACAGGCCAGAAGGAGGAATGCTCTCTCCTACACACACCCAACAGGACACTTATTCAGTCAGGAAGCAACTCTGGTTCAGGCAGGGCATTTCCCATTAAGGCAAATACCTATTGGCAGAATCAATGCCCAGGGTCAGCACACCCTGTTCTCAATTTCTGACTTATACAACTGGGAAAATAACATGCCTACCTATGGGGTGACCCAAGAAAGATAGAAAATTTGTTCTCCTCCATTTTTGCTACCTATAATACTAATTGGTAGATGTGCAAAATTTGCTAAATATACTGCTTACCACTGAAAAGCAGAGAATAGTCCTAGGAATGCCAGGGAAGAAGCTGACTGGCCACATGCCGAGACTCCTGGATATCTGGTCTGAGCAGCGGCTGTGAGTCTGTCTCAAGCACAGACCCGGAATGGGATCTAAATCATGGGGGGCAAGCCTGCTTAGAGCATCACAGAGATTGTATTTTAGCAGACTCAGAAAAGGGGTCCTAAAGCAGCATAGCTTTAATAAAGTTCAGGAATTATGACAGAGGTCAAACAAAAATCCATCTGAGTTTTTGGAGAGAATTTTTTTTTTTTTTTTTTTTGAGACAGAGTCTCACTGTGTTGCCCGGGCTAGAGTGCCATGGCGTCATTTTAGCTCACAGCAACCTCAAACTCCTGGGCTCAAGCGATCCTCCTGCCTCAGCCTCCCGAGTAGCTGGGACTACAGGCATGCGCCACCATGCCCGGCTAATTTTTTCTATATATTTTTAGTTGTCCGATTAATTTCTTTCTATTTTTAGTAGAGACGGGGTCTTGCTCTTGCTCAGGCTGGTTTCGAACTCCTGAGCTCAAACAATCCGCCCACCTTGGCCTCCCAGAGTGCTAGGATTACAGGCGTGAGCCACCGCGCCCGGCCTGGAGAGAATTTTTAAAGCATGTTGGCATTAGGTAGATCCTGAGGCCCCCAAGAACCTCAAATTAGTTAACGTGACTTTCATTAGTCAAAGTGCTCCTGACATTCAGAAAAAGTTGCCACAACTGGAAGGTGACCTTGGAATGTCTATTTCTCAGCTCATAGAGATTGCCTTTAGGGTGTTCAGCAACTGGGGTTAGGCATTGGATAGTAAAGAGCAACGGAAAATGGAAAAGCAGGCACCTCTGCTGGCTGCTGCTCTGTCTGGAATGCCTGAGGTGAAAAAGCCCACCAGAAAGGTAGGCCCCCAGAAAGGGCATCCAAAGGTGGGACCCAACAATGTGCCCATTGTAATCAAGAGGGCCACTGGAAAAAGGACTGTCTTCGTTCCAAAGGCAATCCTAGGAGGAAGAAGAAAAGGCTTTACTCATGCCAGAGGTAGCTGAGAGTGATCAGGAATGGTGGGCTTCTGGAGTCCAGTAGGGAATCAGGTACATTTCCCATGTCCCACCTGGAAACCCAGGTAACCGTCAATGAGAAAAAGACAAATTGATTTCTTCACTGATACTAGAGCCACTTATCCTGTCCCAAATACCTAAATAACAAAATTGTCTCTCAATACTATGATTGTCACAGGGGTGTCTGAAACACCTATGACAAAGCCCACCTTACTACCTGTGGACTGTCAAATGGGCACAGTCAACCTAAGTTTCTTGTACACGCCAAAATGCACCAGGCCTTTGTTGGGATGAGACTTGTTAACTAAGTTAGATGCCACAGTAACCTTCACTCCAAGAAAAGGTTACATCGAAGTGCTGCCAGAGCAAGCTCGTTCATTCCAAGCTGCCTTCCTTGACCAAGGGGCAGAAAAATTCACCGTCAATATTCCCAAGAGCATCTTAAGACAGGTAAGCCAAGACTCTTGGGCTAATGGGAGGCTGGGAAAAGCTAAGACCGCTATGCCAGTATGGGTAAAGCTAAAACTGGAGGCAGAATCCCCGAACTTAAAACAATATCCTCTGAAGGACCAGGCGAAAAAAGAGATGCAGCCTTTAATTGCTGCCTTGCTAGGATTCCAGCTCATTAGGCCACATGGATCCCTGCACAACACTCCCATCTTACCTGTTAAAAAATCCAGTACCGAAGAGTATCAGTTCGTTCAGGACTTAAGGGCCATAAATCAAATAGCAGAGGCCGCTCACCTGGTTGTTCCAAACCCCCACAACGCTGCTATTTTGTTGGGAGACTTCCGTTAGTTCACAGTATTAGACCTACAAGATGCATTTTTCTGCATCCCCTTAAGTCTCAAATCTCAAGAACTCCTGACTTTCGAATGGGAAGGTCCAGAAACAAAGAGTAAACACCAGTATTACTGGACTGTGTTTCCACACAAGTTCAAAAACTTCCCCACCTTTTTCAGGGAAGTGCTGGCAAGAGACTTATGCAAACTCCAGCTACAAGAGGGGACTCTCCTTTAATATGTAAATGACATATTGATAGCAAATAAAACTAAAAAATGCTCAGATAAAAATACTGTAGCTATCTTAAATTTCCTGGCTGAGAGAGGCTACAAGATGTCCCAAAAGAAAGTGCAAATTTCTCAGCTCCCAGTACAATATCCAGGATTTAAATTAATGAGATAGAGTAATTTGCTCCCCAAGCCCAGGAGGTGGTAACTAGCAAGGTCTCAACCATCAAAAAACAATTATGAGGGTGTTTAAAAATGGCTGGATTGTACCATATATGGATACCTAATTTCAGGTTGATGGCAAAACTCCTATATAGTTCCTTGAAAGAAACCGAGCATGAGCCTTTAACGTGGACTGGTGAATGCCAAAAAGCCTTTCAAATGGTTAAAGAGAAATTGTTAACAGCTCAGGCTTTAGGACTGTCAGATTTAAGAAAGCCATTCGATCCGTTTGTACACAAAAGACAAGGAATAGGGTTGGGAGTACTTACTCAAAATCCAGGGGATGCTAAACGTTCTGTGGTATACATTTCAAAGACTTTAGACATCATAACCCAGGGATGGCCAGTGTGCCTTTGGGCAGTGCCTGCCACCTGTGACTTACTGCAAGAAGCTGAAAAATTCATCTTGGGGCGGCCCGCAATTGTCCATACCCCACATTGTGTGTTACCACTGTTAGAGCAAAACAGTGGTTATTTCAGGACAGCTGGGAAGATATTCTCTTGGATAATCCAAATGTGATGCTAAAAACAGTGTCCACCTTAAACTGTGCTACCCTGCTTCCTAACCCATTAGAGGAACCTAGGCATAAGTGTTTGCAGATTATTAAACGAGTCTACTCTAGCCGCCCTGACCTAACATATGTGCCGCTAGAAGAACCAGGTCTAGAGATATTCACGGATGAAAACAGTTTCATAGACCAGGGAAACCAGAAAGCTGAGTATGCAGTGGTAACTTTGCAAGACATCATAAACGCTGAAGCACTGACACCAGGTACATGAGCCGGAAGGCAGAACTAATAGCCCTCACCTATGCCCTTCACTGAGAAAAAGGTTAAAAGATAAACATTTACACTGATTCAAAGTATGTCTTCTCTGTGATACATACACATAGGGCTATTAAAAAAAGAGAGAGAGGGATATTGATATTGGGGTAAAAGAAAATCAGACATGCACAGAAAATCTTAAAATTACTAGGTTTAGGTTAGAACCTAAATAAGTGTCAATCATACATTGCCCAATCCAACAAAAATAGGTCTGTTTAATAGTTCATGAAAATAATAAAGCAGACCAGGCCATTAAATTAGCCACCCAGACCAAAACTCTCATTGCTATGGCCCAAATCCCACATACAGACTTGGCCATGTTTTGTCCAGCATATTCTCCAGAAGATTTAATATTCACACAAGAGTGGGGTTTCAATGTAGCAGCTCTAAAACCCAATTCTTTGCTTATAGCCAGCAAGGAACAATCCTGATCCCTGAGGTTTTAATAAAAAAAAAATAATTCAATTCATCAGAGCACCTACTATGAAAGAGATGCCATGCTCAGGTGGATCCAGAATCGCATCATAGTCCTTATCTTCAAAGGACCACAGAAAAGGTTATATAAAAATGTACAATCTGTGCCAAGAACAATTCAAAATCAGGTCCACCTGCGCCATAGGGGATCCAAGCAAGAGGTGATGGACTGGGCGAAGAATGGCAAATAAATTTCACTGTAATGCCAAGAGTTAAAACAAAATTTAAATATTTGTTAGTAATAGTATACACCAGATGGATGAAAGCCTTCCCCTTGTGTACGGAGAAAGTTTCAGAGGTAATAAAAGCCTTACTAAAAAAAAATTATCCCCAGATTTAGATTGCCATTCACCATCCAGAGTGGTAACAGGAGTGCCTTTATTGATGCTTATTGACATTGAGGTATCCAAGCAGCTGGGAATTAAATGAAAATCACCTGCCTCTTGGAGACCACCCCTCCCCCC